CTGTGTAAACTATCAGTCTACTAGGGCTGCCATTACAAGATAACACAGTCTGGGTGGCTTAAACTACAGAAATTTATTTTTTCATAGTTCTGGAGACTAGAAGTCCAAGATCAAAGTTCTGGCACAGTTGGTTTCTCCTGAGAGTTTTCTTCTTGACGTGCTGATAACCATCTTCTTGCTGTCCCTTCACAAGACCTTTCCTCTGTTCATGTACTTGTCTTGTGTGGTCTTCTTATAAGGACACTAGTCTTATTTGATTAGGCCCCTACCCTACAACCTCATTTAACGTTAATTGCCTCCTTAAAGGCCTTATCTTCAAATCTGGTCACGTTGGGGATTAGCACACCAACAGATGAACTTTGAGGGGCACAATTCATTCCATACAATGACTCTAGGCAAATAATTCACCTGTAAGCTTCTTTTATCCTGATGTGTTAAATGAAGATGTTGATAATTACCTTACAGAGCTATTCTGATTATCAAATGAGATGCTATGTATCAAGTCCCCAGCATGATATTCATGCTCAATAGAGACTACACATATGATGACTGTTATTCTAATTGTAAATTTGCCACACCCACCCCTGACTTTCCATCTCCCATTGGTTGTTTCACGGGTATAAAAGAAGCAAGGGTAGGAGGGGCACTAATCAAGAATTTATCATCGAATTACACTTAAAACTCTTGGTTAAGAATTAACCCAGATCAGTTTGGTTGTGGCTTATGTCCTACTTTTATAATTGTCCATAAGGATTTTATAATCACCTTACATCTAATCTTGCTTTGTGCTCTTGAGAGATGGAAATGCTTTTTAAGGTATCCTTTACGAGTAAGTGTGGTGGGAATAGACCAAAAAGAAGATGGAGTACTAATTTGATGTAGTTGATCTTGGCTTAAAACATCACGTAGTGCTTTGAGCCTCAACATATAGATAAACCAATCAAGATACATTTAGATTATCTGAGTTGCATAAAATTACACAGCCAAGTTATGACAATGATGAAACTACCACTTTGATTTAACTCCTACCTAATATTTATTTTTAGTTCTTTTTGTTTGCCTTGCTTGTTATGTGACTTTGGGTCTCTATGCCCCCAGTTTGTTTGTTTTTCATTTGTAAAATAGTGACAATAATAGTACTTAACCTATAGATTTTTATGGGTGTTAAATGATTTTTCTTTCTTGTAAAATGCTGAACAGAGTGGCCAGCACATTGTAATTATCAATAACATTAAATTTTAATTATAATTTCTAACACTGTAACTAGGTTACCATTATTTCCTGGTGAGTTGCTTCCTCTAGGGGTACAATTGTTCACATTTAATTCCTTGAGGAATTAATAACTTCTTTATGTCTGTTTGCCTCTGCCTTACTTTCAAGACCCTCCAAAACATGGCCTATTTTACCCACTTGGTAGGAAGTCATACAATACCCCTTTTGGAACCCCTAACTTCATTCATTTTTTCTTTCAGTCACCAGGGTTATCACTGAGTCTTCGCAGTTCTCACTCTCAGAAACACCTTTCTCTGGCAATGTACAATCAAATTCTCATCACTTTTAAAGGTGAAGATCAAACTTACTTTCCCATTGGCCCTTTTCTCAACTATTGCTGTACATATTATTTCTCTCTTTCTCTGAACTAATTCCAGTCCGATTCTATTTTAGTCAATTTCAATTGGACCTTTAGATAAACCATTCATCCATATTCTCAAATAGGAAGAAAGTTTCAACAAGACTTTAAGCATTTCTTTTTGAAGCCTATTGGCTGGGGGTGAGAGTGAGGGATAGAATGATGTTCCAGCTAATGGGAATAACATCTACAAAGATCCAAGAAGCAATTTGGGTAAGAAAGATGAGAGCATTTGGGGCAACTGCAAGTACTTCAGTATGGGTGAAGCAGAGTTCAGAAAAAGAGTGACAAACGTTGGGATTGGAGAGTTAAAGATGGGCCATGAACATATCTATAAGCAATGCTAAATGTGGACATTGAGAGCTATCAGAGGGTTTTAAAGTAGGGGATAACATTTTAGATTCTAATTCTAGTGATATCACTCTGATTGCAGTGTGGAGGGTGAATTGGAGAGGTAAGTTTTAAGGAAGATAAATTTGTTAGGGAGACTGTGATGTTAATCAAGTCTTGGAATGCTTTTACCCTCAGTTTTTCCCCTGCTTGTCCCCTTGTTCTTCAGGGCTTAGCTTAAATGCTACCTTCTCAGAGAGTGTGTCTCAGTTATAAAGTTCCTTTTCCAATTTCCTCTTTAATATCAACTAGCTTGACTTTCTGTATAGTACCTTCCAATACCTGGTTATTTCCAATTTATTTATTGTCTGTCATCTTCTACTTGAATGTAGACAATGGGAACAAGGACCATATCTTAAAGTTTTATGCTACATAAATAGGAGGTGTCTTATAGTAGTCACCAATATCTAATTGTGGAAATAATGAATCAATCCATACCAAGTATGGTAGTACTAAGTATGATAGTGCAGGGGCAGGGGAAATAGAAAGACATTAGGAATAAAATATTAACAACTAGACTCCAAGTCTTTCCTCCAGCTTCAGAGATGCTTGATAAAAGATTGACTTTTAGTCAAGCTTCTGACAATATCAGTTGAAAGACTATTCAGTGGAGATAAAAGTAAGTCTTGTTGAGGTTGCTATGTACTAAGTATTGATTCAAAGATGCCCCTAAACATGCTGCGACTGGTTGTGAAGATTGCTTAGTGTGTATCCTTTGATTTTTGGCTTAAAGCTGAGATTTAAAAATGAGATAGAGGTATGCATACCTCCTGGTACTGAGTGACAAGCAAAATATTTAAGATCGGGGATCCTAAACCCTGAAGCTTCCCTGTGATGGTGTAACCCACGTGTTAATTTGTGTCTTCTATGACAAAAACGTCCTGTGTAGTGACTGGACAATGAAAAACAAGATCTGATGGTCGGAAGCCTCTGCGATGCCGTCATTGTACACCCACTGTTTTGTAGCCTTCCATATCACTTGGTAAATGTGCCGCTGGGTTTACTTCTAAGTTTGATTGACAGCCCAAACCTGAAGTTCCACTCTGGTGTCCTTGCAAATAAGAGTAGATAAAAGAGACATTTAAAAAGTGAGTTATTTTACTATATCTGTATCCTTTGTAATATGTGCACCTCTTCCCACTAACCACATAGCCACTACCCTGGTCCAAGAACTCACATTTTTTTTCACATGGGTTATTGTAATAGTCTCCTACCTGGTTTCCCCTCTGCACTTTCTCTTGCACTCTTTAATCTGTTCTCACGTAGGCAGCTGGTTTGTCATACTCCTCAACTCAAAATACTGTTGTGGTTTATCTCAGATTAAAATCCAAAAAGTTCTTATCATTACCTACAATATTCTGCATGATTTTGCCTCCTATTCATCTTTTACTCCCTCTCTCCTCCTCATCCCTCTCTCTTTGCCATTTCTTCAAATATTAGGTACTTGTTAATTTTGTTCTGGATTCTGGGATTTAGATGAGTAAAAGAGACAAAAATTCCTCTTCTCATAGATCTTATCTTTTAGAAGAGTGGATAGGCGAATAGATGGATGGAAGAAGGAATGGATGGAAGGATGGTTCAATGTTAATAGATAGATAGGATTTAAATTCAGAAAAGTGTAGATAGCGTTATGGATAGAAGAGAAAATTTAAGAAAAGTTGTAAACGAGTAATGCACTGGACATGTGTTCAGGAATGGAAATATTCCCCTTGTATTCCAGAATAATGAAGTAGTGGGAGATAGACCAGAAAGTTAGTGTGCGAGTATATTAATTTTTTGGACATTAAATTTGTTTGGCAGAGATTGATGTATTTATAAATTGATTATTGAACATATAATCATTTAGCACCAATTTTGTCTATACTTTTTCTAAGTGTCATAAATAGAATTGCAAGCAAAGCAGACATAATCCCTATATTCATTGAGTTTATGGATATAATAAGAGGTTGGTAGCAATTAAAATAATAAATGAGAAAAAATGTAACTTATTTGAGGTTGTTTCTAGAACTGAACTACCTAACTGTAGCTTTTGTCTATTATTTCTCATTTTAAACAATGTAAAAAAATATAGTAAATGAAATAAATTTAGAATAAATTGCAATGGTTAATATGTCCCTTACGGTTTACAATTTCTTTTCATTTATTCACTCATTCAGTATACATTTTTTTGAGCACCTATTCTATGCAGTACACCGCTAGGAACACTAAAATGAAAGAAAAGTCTTCCAACTCTGATCTACAGGCAAAAAAAAACAACAACTAAAACATCAGAGTGAAAGAAGTATGAAAATATGTGTAGAATGCTATGGGAGAAACCATAGAGAATAGTCACCTAACCAAGTTGGGAGAACAAACAATGCTTCATGAAAGAGCTAAGCTGAGTCTTAAAGGATTAAATATAACAATGTACCAGATATGGTTTTCATCTTAAAGATATGTAACGAATGGTGCATAATTTAAGACAGTGGCATTTACGACAAAAGATAGATGAAATTTGAGTGTACAGATGAGATTTATACTGATTGGAGAATTGATAGTTTATGAGGCTGTAGCATTTGAGCTAAAAATTAAAAGATGAATAGTATTTTGATATACAGAGGTTAGGAAAGGGGACACAAATTGGGAGAGTGGAAGGGTATTGTAGAAATAGCTTTATCAAAGGAACTAATATAAATAAAAGCAGAATGTTTTAGGAATAGGGCAGATCCAGGCATTGTGGGCATGAGACTTACACAATTTATGGCCATCTTTAAGAAAACATATAAACATTGAGAATAAAAAATACATTCAAAAGTGAATCTCTTTGCAGAATAAAAGGTACAATCCCACCAAATTACTGGCAGCTTATATGTTCATGACTTTTTCTTATGAGGTCTCTTTAGACAATTTATCAGAGATGCTTGCATAGAAATGCCTCCTGATTGCAACTTGACTTCTGGGTCCTTGCTCAGAACTCTCTACATTCTCCTCCCTCTCCCAGCATTCAAGGGGCCTGTGCAAGTAAGGCTGCCTGGCACATCAAGTTCATCAGGCTCAAGGTAAGTCTAAGTATGATTACAAATAGGAAGGATATATGCGTAGAGGAGCAGGGTGTGTGGGGAGAATGAGGTTATGTAAGATAAAATCAAAACAGGGGAAAATAAGGGCAATCATGAAATGTCTTAAAAATCTTCTAAGCTCTTTTGGCTTTATTCATTGAAAGAGTCTACAAGGAATTTGGAGGAGTAATTTTTGTACTTCAGGACTTATTTTCCTGTAACAGAAAGCACACAGAAAATGATTTGCAGAGCTACATCATTTTTCGTGGAGTTAGAGTGAAATATGCATTCACATAGGAATTGATTTGACCTCCCTTCTAATCTAATGTGTGCTATATATAGTAAGATGACTTATGATAGGGTCAAAGTCTACCTTCAGTGCTTGTAAAAATATGTTTTTCATTTTCATGCCCTTAAAAATCTAAAGGTCCTCAGCAAAAAGAAATTTGGTGGAATTTTTATTATTCCCTTATTTTCTTTAAAAGTGATGTTATTTTAATGACATACTAAGGAAAATAATGGGACAGGTAAGGGAATTTCATGATATGCCACTTTGATAGAGACAATTGCTTTCATTATTACACTTCCATATGTAAGAGCAGATAAACAGACTAAAGAAAAATGGCAAATACATAGGAATAATTTTCTCAATTAGGAATAAGAGTAGAATGCATATTTGGGGAAAATGAAAAATGAAAGCTAACACTAAACAATCTTTATTTTGTCTTTTCTCTCTCCTATTGGATTCCCCATTTGCCCTATAGGAGGCAAAGTTTATAAGCCCCTAGGATGACACTCAAAATGCTTATGTAGCTTGGAAATTATTTTTTCAGGTGACCCCTTAAAGAGAAACTGTATCATAGTAGAGTTGGTTTCTCCCAAGTGAGGATTAGACATGCGTATTCTGTGTTCACATTCTGTATAAATCTAAAACTCTTCTATGCAAGGAGGGTGGAGTGTTTCGACAAGTATAGTGAGATAGTTTGTTGTTTTCAGAGTCAGTGTCTGCATTGCACCAACTTGTTGGATAGCAAATATGCATCCTATTTTCCCACTCTACCTCAGCTCCCCTCAGGCACCACGGCTTGCCTTTGTGTTCACATAGGTCTCCACTCCTCACGTATGGGTCTTCCTTGGCACCTGACGCTGTTTGTTTTGGTTCTTAGAGTGTTGTCCTCATACCCCCTATATCTGAGTGCTCAGGAGAATTTGTTAAAATGCAGATATCTGGACCCTGAGTCCAGAATAAGGTCTAGGAATCTGTACTTTTCACAAGCTCCTCAGAGGGTTCTTACGAGTCTCAACATTGGAAGGCTCTGTTCATGACTAAAATGCAAAGCTGAAAGAAGACTCAAATTCTACCTCACTTGTATTCAGTACTGGTGTACATCACTTTGATGAGTTTGCATGCCTCATCTTTCTTATCAGAGATAGGCTTGTAAAGTGATCACTCTGAATTTTCCAACACTAATACCATACATGCTAAGTTAGGCTCTGGAACACTCTCCTACAGCCCTTCCCCATTTCCCTGTCCATACCACTCCCTAATCCAGTAGTTCTCAAGGTGTAGTCATGGGACCGGCAACGTCAGCATCACTTGGAACTTATTATCAATGCAAATTCTTAGACTCCACTGCAGTCTTATTGAACTGGGAACTCTGGCCACGTGGCACAGCCCTCCAGATGATTTTGGTGCAAGGAAAAGTTGGAGAACCACTGATCTAGACTATTTCTTCCTTTCCATCTCAGTGCCTATTGATAGGAAATAATGGAATCTATTAAATTAACTCACATCGAGTTTTAAGGATATTTGTATTTCATAGAAAATCCTGGTAAAAGAGTAAGTGCTAAACTCACAAAAATAAAGTACTAACAGAAGAATTTACGTTATTATAGCTCCCGGAAGGAAAGTATTTTGATGAGAAGATTGATTGAGGATGCCATCAAACAATTATACACTTTATACTTAATCTACACCTGAGAGTGTCCTGTTTCCAGTATCTATTTCTGTGCGGATCCATCAGAACATACCTATCCTGTATCACCCTTCCTAGCTCTCTTCTCTACAGAGTAATGACTAATGGATGAACCAATCCCTACCAATGTGCGATTATTTTACTGACTCTAAGTAGCTTGTGATTTCACAGGGAGCTTCTGGAGAAGACCCCTTAATCCCACATATTGAAAAAATCTAGGTAACATGGCAGATTGATGAGATAGAGAGATTCCATGAAGTTTGCTTTATTTCCTCATGACTCTATGAGGTTTTTTCTTTCTTCAAAGCAGAGTTTAGATTTGTATCTGTAATATTTACCTTAAAAAAAGACTTAAAGGAAATCTGATTGCTGTATTACCTTATTTGAAAGGCAGATAAGAAGTACTAAATTTATGCTGAAATTTACAAGAATGCATATTTATGCTCAATATAAGGAAACTTTTCTAGGAACTAAAACTGTTCATCCACGAAACTCAAGCAGCATACTGTAGGTATTAAGAACACATGTTTTGGAAGAACAGGGACTTGAGTTGGTATCTTGTGACACCTCTTATTAGTTGTTTGACCTTGAACAAGTTAGGAAATGCTCTAAACCTCAGTTATCTAAAAGAAATGATGATAATGTCTTCTTCACAGGGTTATTGTGAAGAAGTGGGATAATTGTGAATACCTAGGACAGTACCCAGCACAAAAGGACACTTAGTAAATGGTAGCTATCATTTCCATGGTTTCAAGCAGAAGCTGAATCACCACATTTCAGAGATGCTATAGACGGTAGGATAAAAGAACTGCTAATGTGTATTTCAAATCTATGAATCTTAGACCCTAGGAAACCATATATTCTGTAACTCTTTGATTTTAGTGAAAACCATGTATGGGAAATAATTAAATAGGAAAGCAACCTTCCCCAAAGAAACACAGTCAAGTTGTCCTTACGTACTACTTGGTCTCAGGAAGAGATTGGCCTTCTTTCTCTAGGCTTTTTCAATATAGTTTTCAGGGACACGGCTTTCTACTTTTCCTGGGTTAGGTGATGGATAAAAGTTCTTATCAATCGATTATTTCCTGCCATTATTCAAGGTATTTGACGTCGGAGCCTTCTACTTTGTACATTCCTTGACTGAATTTGAAAAACATCCAGAAAGAATCAACAATGTTCTAAAAACTTTTAAAGAAGAGATTTTCTCTGGTGTCCTTGGAAAAAGCATTTTCAAATAAATGATGAATGGCTAAAGGTATTTTCAAAAAGTGGGAAAAACACTTTCCTGTTACCTCATAAACAAAGGATATGTTTTTCAAATGAAAACAAATCTGAGACTTTAATCAAATTTTAAACTATTTCATTCTGTTTTTTTTTTTTAATAAATTCCATATCTTGCTATCAGTACTGTGAACTTTTTGGCAAAACTGGTGTTAGAATAAAAGTAGAAATGCAACTTCAAAAAGCAAACCCTTATATTTGTCACTTGTGATAACACTTCTTGACTTCATTCCCAGCCAAACAGATGCACTATTAACAGTGTATTTATTTTTACTATTGGCTGCATTTGCCTTCACACTGGATAAGGGCCCTTTTGGGACCTAGAATGCCAATAGAGTGGATTCCAGTGGGAGATTTATGGAGTCAATGATCCTGGGTCCACAACAGCAGCCTAACAAATGACTCAGGCAGACTCTCGTAGACATTCAGTCAATGTCAGCAACTTTGGAGGCAACAAATTTGTGGGAATCAATGATCTTAACTCAGACTGGGGCATCTGGGTTGGAATCTGCACAGCCTTGTTTATCATCAACCCACTCTGGCAAGGAAAATAGAGCTACTGCATGTTCTGTTTTATGTAATTGTGTATCAATACTATAAAGTGTTTAGTACACTTCTATTTACATAAATTCCAAGGGCAGTACTGAGTCAGGGGAAAAGCACTCAACTTAAAACCAGAAACCCCGGGTAGAAATCTTCTTCTTGCACTTAGTAGCTGTATGATTATAGACAACTTTCTAAGATTGGTAGTTATGACTTATAATGGGCTTATTTATAGCAGTACTGTTCTAAAAGTTTTATACACAATATTTTTATGAAATAGGTACTTTGTTCCGATTTTACAGAAAAGGGAACTAAAATAGGTTGAATTTAAGTAAGTTGTTCAAAGTCACACAGCTTGGGGCGGGGCTGTGTTGAGATTCAAACCAGGACAATGTGGCTCCAGGGTCCATATTCTCAACAATTACACATACTGCCTTAGTTTTCACATTTATACAAAGATTACACAAAGAAAATAATAACATCCTTGATACCAACAGCCTAAGATTGTTCTTGGTCCCAAACATAATGATGTGATGAGTGCTAATATCATTAAATATTAAACATAAAATAACATTATGGAACCATGTAAAAGATAGAGGATAACCTACTGCTTATAATTATTATTTCACTACCAAGTATTCCTGGTACTGAAACTAATTGTTTCAACATCTCTGTAAGATTTATAGAATCAATCTCATCTTATGGATGAGGAAAATAAAATTCAGAGAAGTGAAGTCACAGTCAAATTCCCCATAGTTAGGGAGTGGTACAGCTGACAGTCGACTCCAAAACCCAATTTATTTTTGATTCTATCATATTGACCTTAATAATCATAAATAATATTTCTACCTTTCAGAATTTAACACTTTTATTTATTGAAAGTACATATGGTTCTGAAAAAAATAGTAAACTTTTCAAGTATATCGATATAGATTATTAGGGGAAATGGAAACATCATTTTTATTTCCCTCTGTAATGACCGAAATCTCTTCAGGAATAATAGAGTAATTGCCTATTTTAGAGCATTATAAAATATATACCTTAATTCAACTGAAAGCACAAATTGATTTTTTGGCAATCACTGAAAAGAATATGATGTGTACATGAAATGTCCTCTCCATAAAGCAGGCAATTGATTTCTGCAATTGTAAATATCGATTGGATAACAAAACACTGTTTATCAGCTACATTAAGTCGTCTTGAAAGAGTTTTACATTGTCGATGTCTCTTACACAAAGATTGCTCTCTTAGTCCCTGCAAATGTGTGGGTAGGTAAAGACTCTAGTATAGACAGAGAGGAGAAAAATCCAGACTTGCTGCAGAATCCAAATCCAATTTAGAGACTAAAAACAACTGAAATCTGGTTCTTAATGGGGTCATAGTTTCAAACCATGTCGAAAGAGTCAGAGGTAATGAATATTTGATATGCATATATACTGCACCAATTATATTTTGATAAGGTCAATTTGAGTCATATGGGTAGTTTAACACAGCCACTTGACTTAAAAGTCCTCAAATCAAGTCTTAAATGAGAAGACCATTTTAAAAGCACAGAAGTACAGGGCAAAGACCCTGAGAATCCAATCTATTTTATTTTGCCTGATTAATTACAACAAACTGGGACTTGGACTGAATTAGAGATAATAGGATAAGGCCAGTCAGGGTAGACAAAACCAATATTTCAGTGGTATAACTAATAAAGACATGGCAGTTGCTGGCAATTAAGTTCAGGAACATCAGGGCAGGGTATATTAAAGTGGGTTTAAAATGACGTTAGAACCAAGGCCTAAAAATAACCCAAGATTTGCCTCTCCTCTCCATAAAGTTCCTGAAACAAAAGTACACTCAGAAAAAGCAAAATTACCATTTTACTGTGAGTGGATTTTACGTTGAATCCTCTGTAACTCTCTAATGGGCTGGCCAGAGACAATGATGATGACCCCTAATCTAGCTGAGTCCAAATGGGCCAAAACTAAAGCAGGCTAAAAGATCCGTTCAGTTCACATGCTCCCCAAATCCCAAACTCAGTTTCAAACTCCCATTAGAAATAAGGCCAAATCATATGTACTCACTCAAAGAGCATGAAGAAAAAATAAGTTTGCCCTACTGCCAATGGTGGAGCTGGCCTGGGTTCCCTGCCTTAGACCTTTTTCAAGTGTTTTCTGAAAGGTCTCCCTTAGCTTTGTGTGAGAAAAGAACTTTTAAAGAAAAACACAAATGAAAAGCCAAGCTCACAGATACAGAGAAGAGATTGGTGGTTGCCAGAGGTATGGGGCGGGGGGCGGGCAAAGGGGGTCAAAAGGTATAAAACTTCCAGTTATAAAATAAAAGTCATGGTGATTTAATGTACAGCATGGCACTATGGTTGATAACATCATATTGCATATTTAAAAGTTCCTAAGAGAGTGAATATTAAAAGTTCTCATCACAAGGAAAAAACAGTTCTGTAACTATATAGGGTGACAGATATTACCTAGACTTGTTATGGTGATCATTTCACAATATATACAAATATCGAATCATTATTTTGCACACCTTAAACTAATATAATACATGTCAATTATACCTCAATAGAAATAATAATAAAATACAGACACCACCTTGACCTCTAATGCTTTTGAAATATCTTCCCTTTGAACTGTAGCTCATTATAATATCTTGAACGTGAAAAGTTTGGATTAAAACCCTCCTGCCTGGGGACGAAAGTTGGGGCTGGGTGGTAGAAGAAAAGAGCCTTGAATTTCTCCTAAATTTCACAATATCCCTGATTTTTTCTTGTTATCTTTTTTAACCCCAAATAATTAATACCAAGCCCATAATCCACGAAGAGTATGAGACTCTCCTTTCAGGGAGGTGATCACAGATTATCAGAGAAGCCCTGCCCACAAGCTCTGCAAGCCTGGCCACTACAAGTTTTTCTTGGGAAGTTTATCCTCTCAAGAGCCCTTTGATTTTACTTCTAGAATTTCTGAAGTAGTTCAAGAAATACACTGTTTATTCAAAGTTCACCTTAGGCGTAAAACAAGAAAAGCCATCTGAATCTTACTTTGAAATTTTCTGTTATCCAATTAGTTACAAAACAAGATTTTCCAGCGTTTTTGGGTAACATAGCTTGAAAATACCATTATGCCAAATATAGCAGCAGGGCATTAATTCTCTCTGACAACCTTCTGAAGGTAGTTTCTTGTTCCCACAGCAAAGTTAAAGTCCTCAATTTGAAATTTCTCCCTTAAGTTTTCCGCAGAAAAGTTGAAGTCAGGGAAAGTGCCCTCCTCTCTTATTTCTGATTCTCC